CTGCCGGTGAGCGCTGATCCCTTTTCCTGTTAAAATTCGGACCTGGAAGAAAACAACTTATTCGTGAGTAAAGACTGAATCACTTGGAATTACAAATTTTAAATGAGAAGGTTTAATTTGGCTTGAATTTGGCTGAAAGCGGAGAGACGTGGAAACAGGAAGTCCGTCTTCCGCTGCCATTGAACTTGAAAAAAAGCAACTAAGGCGGAGGAGTGGAGGCTGAAAGAAAGAGATTTTAAACTCTACACAGCCAAGCATCTATGGAACTTACAATTTAAAGTAAAACTAGCAAGTTAAAGATTTGGATCTTTTATTTGCACTTGACTTTCCCCCTTTTATTGGATTACAAATTGGAAGGTGAAACCCAGAGTCAGGATTGCTTGAGCACTGTAAGAGCGAGCTGTCAGTGTTTGACTTGGATACTATATATTAGAAGTTGCAACAATCTGAGGGTATTGAGACTTTTTAAATTTGAAACATTCTTTTTGGAGACAAATAAGCACTGTCTGCAACAAAGTGATTACTTTTAAACTCTGCTTAATACTTATATTGGAAGGTTCTGGGACATTAAATCAGACTCTGAAAGACATCTTAAGCTCCTCTAGAGGATTGGATTAAAACAGTGACTTTACAAATACATTTACTTTCGATTCCCTTGTTGTTTGCTTGCTCTGGGCCTTTCTATTCCTGTGGGAAAAACTCAGTGTGACCTTGACTGATAGATAACATTGGAATGAGTGGTACAAGAAGAAGAGGAAGAGTTAGACAAACAACTCTAACAACTCTAACCTCAGCCTCGCAGACACGTAGATCATCTGTGCCTACTTTGCCCTCAGAAGTACAACTTGAAGAAGCTGTCTTGCCACAGGCAAAAGAGGGAGAGGGTGAAGCAGAGCAGTTACAATTGGAAGATATGGCCTCAGGAGCATCTGTTTCTGTGCTAGATGCGCAATCAGCAAAGATTGATAAAAATACAGATTGTCTAAACAAATTAACTACACAGGTGGGACAGAATACACAAGCAATTGGACAGTTGACGGAGGCCTCAGTAGAAAACCGAAAATTGGCTGAGGATACCAGACAAAAATTGGAAAATTTAGAGCAAGAGGTAAGACCACTCACTAAACAAGTTGGGGAACATCAGACTTATCTTTCTATGATAGAACTGCGAAATCGTGAGAATAATTTGAGGATTAGATCATTACAAGAGGCAGAAGAAGGAAATCTAACTGAGTTTTTGACCAAAGAACTTTCCAAGTTCTGGAATTTGGAAGAAAAGGACTTTAAAATTGTGTCAGCTTTCAGACTTGGAAGATTTATAAAGAAGGAGAGGCCCAGGGATTGTTTGATTACATTGAGATCGAAGGAGGAAAGGGATAAGATTTTGGGTCTACATTACGAAAAGTCACTGGAGGTTTTGGATAGAAGAATTGAGATATATAAAGATATCCCAAGACAACTGTTGGACCTTAGAGCCGCCTACTCTGAACTTGCTAAACTACTAAGGAGCAACGCAATTCCATTCAGGTGGGAATTTCCCAAAGGATTATCTTTTACCTTTAGAGCGAGAAAGGTTAAAATTAGAACATTGGAAGAGAGAGATAAATTTCTGGCTACATACGGAGAGGACCTACATAAAGGAATTGAACTACCTTCCGGGCCTGGGGCAAAGCCAGCATCAATACCTCCACCTGGGGAACTTGAAGACCCAGAGAAGACACCACCCCGGGAGAAATAACCAGACAGATCCAGGATGTCTCTGCAACTGTTGAGCTGGAACATTAATGGTTGTAATATTCCGGAGAAAAGGAAGAAAATATTTCATATATAAAAAAAGAACAATTGGACATTATTTGTTTACAAGAAACACATGTGACGAGGCTCCACAGAAAAGTGTTAATAAATAAAAGATTGGGCCAGGAATTTATTTCGTCGGACAAAGTGAAGAAGAGAGGAGTGGTGATATATGCAAAAGAGAGCCTGTCACCTAAATTTCTATTTAAAGATGAACATGGAAGGATTTTGGCTATTGAGATACAATATCAAGGAGAGAAACTGCTGATATTAGGAATCTATGCGCCCAATGAAGGGAAATCGGAATTTTACAAGAAGTTGCAGGGGACAATGCTGGATCATCTGGATTACAACAACATCATAATGATGGGAGACATGAACGGGGTCGTGTCAACTAACATGGACAAGTCGCAAAGTCAAAATGTCACAAAAGATGGCAGACTACCTAACCCCTCTTTTGAAATGACTGACAATATGGACTTGATCGACATTTGGAGAACAAAGAACCCACTAGGTAGAGAAGGAACATTCTTTTCTGAAGCCCAACTGACCTGGACAAGAATCGACCAAATATGGATCTCTAGAGGCCTGGCACCTAGGGTTAGAAAAGTGGAAATCTGCCCAAAGACCTGCTCTGACCACAACGCAGTAAAGATGGATATGACACTACTACCAACTGGATCCTTTAGATGGAAGATGAATGACAATTTGTTTAGAGATCAGGAAATTACCAAGAAGGCCCAAAAAGTTTTGAAAGACTATTTCGAGATAAACATGAACAATTCGGTGGAAAAAGAATCGTCTGGGACGCAAGCAAAGCTGTCATGAGGGGATTCCTGATACAACAGAATGTAGTAAAGAAAAAACACAAAATGAGAAAAAGACAAGATTTTGGATAAAATAAAAGAATTAGAGAAGAAATTAAGAGTGAATCCAAAGTCACAGCCAACTCTGAGAGAAATTAAACTGTATCAAACACAATATTCTAAATTGATAAATCAGGAAATTGAATGGAAGATTAAATTAATGAAACAAAAACGTTTGAGTCGGCGAATAAATGTGGAAAACTGCTATCTTGGCAGTTGAAGAGAAGACAAAGATTAAATACGGTTACAAATTTAGAGGTCGATGGAAGAAACATTCAGAATCCAGTGGACATTAGAAAGTGTTTCCAGAGATATTTTAAAAACTATATACCCAAGGGCCGCAAGACGAAGTCGAGATTAAACAATTTTTGGCAAAAATGGATTATCTAAACTGTCACAAGAAAATAGGACAACCCTGAACTCTAAAATAACACGACAGGAGATTGAACAAGCTATTCAGAACATGCAACTTGGCAAATCTCCAGGGCCAGACGGGCTGACCTCCAAGTATTACAAGACACTAAAAGACTATTTGATACAACCCTTGATGGAGGTTAGCAATGAAATTATGGAGGGGAAGAGGGCACCGGATTCGTGGAAGGAAGCGTTTATCACATTGATACCAAAGTCAGAAACTGAAAAGACACAACTGAAGAACTACCGTCCCATCTCCCTTTTAAATGTGGATTACAAAATATTTGCAGATATTTTGGCAAGTAGATTTAAAAAGTTTTAAATGAAGTAATTCATAAGGACCAGGCCGGTTTTCTCCCAGGTAGACATCTGTTTGCTAACACAAGGAACATTATTGATATCTTGGAACTTCTCCAAACTGACATAAATACAAAAGCAGTTTTAATTTTTATAGATGCGGAGAAGGCCTTTGATAATATTTCTTGGAAATTTATGATGGGAAACTTAAAAGAGATGGGAGTGGGACGGGGTTTTGAGAATGGGATTGAGGCGATATATTCAGAACAGAAAGCTAAACTGATAGTTAATAATGTGGTTACAGAAGAGTTCAAAATTGAAAAAGGGACACGACAAGGTTGCCCTATCTCCCTTTGTTATTTATTTCGGTCCTGGAAGTGCTATTGAACATGATTAGAGGGGACCAGTTGGTGGAAGGAATTCAGGTTGGTCAGAAACAATATAAACTAAAAGCTTTTGCAGATGACCTGGTTTTGACCTTGCAGAAGCCAGAGCCTAGTACGAAAAGAGTATTACAATTGATTAATGACTTTGGTCGGGTGGCGGGATTTAAATTAAATAAACAGAAAACCAAGGTTTTGGGGAAAAATTTGACTGAGACAGAGTCAGAACGGTTTCAGAATGAGACGGAACTTAATGTGGTTAAAAAGTAAAATACCTAGGGGTAAACATAACAGCAAAAATCTAAGTCTATTTAAGGATAATTATGAAAAATGTTGGACAGAAATTAAGAGAGACTTAGACAGTTGGTCAAAATTGAAACTTTCTTTGTTAGGCCGAATTGCTGCGATTAAGATGAATGTATTGCCAAGAATGTTGTTTTTATTTCAAACACTTCAGGTTTTGGACAAAATGGAGTGCTTTCAGAAGTGGCAGAGAGACATTTCGAAGTTTGTCTGGCAGGGCAAAAAGCCCAGAATTAAGTTTAAGATACTAACTGATGCAAAACAAAGAGGGGCTTTGCCCTGCCGGACTTAAAGTTGTATTACGAAGCCGCAGCGTTCTGCTGGCTAAAAGATTGGCTACTTCTTGAAGACACTGATGTGTTGGATTTGGAGGGGTTTAACAATGTTTTTGGATGGCATGCATATTTATGGTATGACAAAGTTAAAGCAAATAAGGCCTTTAAGAACCATATTGTTAGAAAATCACTGTTTAATGTCTGGACAAAATATAAAGACTTGCTGGAAAATAAAACACCAAGGTGGCTTTCACCTTTGGAAGCTAAGGCTCGAAAAAGACCCAATATGGAGGCCAAATGGCCAAAATATTTGGAAATACTAGAAAAGATGGAGACAATTGGAAATTGCAGAGTTTGGAGAAAATGAAAGACAAAGTGCGAGATTGGTTACACTATGCTCAGATTAAAGAAGTTTTTAAAAATGATAAGAAACTAGGGTTCCAGGTGGAGAAATCGAAATTAGAAACAGAATTGTTAGAACCAAAGATTAAGATACTTTCAAGGATGTATAACTTGCTGTTGGAATGGAATACACAAGATGAAATGGTTAAATCGGCTATGATAAGGTGGGCACAGGATATTGGGCATAATATTATGTTTGAGGACTGGGAAAGGCTGTGGAGTAATGGATTGAAATTTACTGCATGTAATGCTTTGAAAGAAAATGTAATGAAAATGATTTATAGATGGTATATGACCCCAGTCAAACTCGCAAAAATTTACCACCTGTCTGATAACAAGTGCTGGAAATGTAAAGAGTGTGAAGGAACGTTCTTTCACCTCTGGTGGACCTGCCCTAAAGTGAAGGCGTTCTGGGAAATGATTTATAATGAATTGAAAAAGGTATTTAAATATACTTTCACTAAGAAACCAGAGGCTTTCCTTTTGGGTATTGTCAGCCAAGGGGTGGCAAAGAAGGACCAGACATTTTTTATGTATGCAACAACAGCAGCAAGGATACTACTCGCAAAACATTGGAAAACTCAAGATCTACCCACACTGGAAGAATGGCAGATGCAACTGATAGACTATATGCAACTGGCTGAAATGACTGGCAGAATCCGTGACCTGGGAGAAGAGAGAATCGAGGAGGATTGGAAGAAATTTAAGAACTATCTACAAAAACATTGTGATTTGACTGAATGCTGAATAAGATGCTAGACTAAATAACTGAGCACCACTTAACTTAGAAGTTTTTAAGAAAATAAGAAAAACTGTGAAAGTTTAACTCTTTATGAGAACTTTAAGATTATGAAATATCGAAGAGATATAAGAACTTAAATAAGATGATAAATTGCTGACAAAATGTTATAATGATGAAGGTGGGAGCGGGAGATGTGAGGAAGTCCAAAGAAAATGTGAAATTATGTTAAGACGAATGTTATATTGTTTATTACATTTATTCCTATTGTAAAATCCAATAAATTGCTTTAAAAAAATAAAAATAAAACCTGCATTAGCAAAGTCGGAAGAATCAGCAGCCTATTTAAGCTGGCTGCTTTTGTTTCCCTAAGTAACAGAAAAAAAAAAAAAAAAAAAAGACAGGAGTGCCTGGCGTGCTCTAGTCCATGGGGTCACGAAGAGTCGGACACGACTAAACGACTAAACAACAAACAACAACAAATGGACAACAGCAACCCTGCACTCTGTGTGCTTATGGCCAGTATATTTTTTTTAATGGAATGAGCAGTGCAATTTGCATAGGACCAGCTCATCCATCGAGTGAATGGGCATTTGTCCTGAGCATCCACCCATCTGGGCAAGGATGTTGGGATGCTTCTCAGGGTTGTGTGGGGAGCTTCTGCACCAGCAGAAACAGCTGGAGACACACGAGGTTGAGTGAAGGGACACTTCTACTGCATTGAAACCTCCTGCCATCTGGCAGATTGGGGGTTTGGATTGCTCTGGCAAATGTTCCAAACAGGGTTGGTTTGAGGCAAAACAGAAAATGGTGTCACTGTGTCATTGAGGCTAATGAGCGGGCTGGCCCTGGCTACAAATGCTTTAGACTTTTAAAAAAATCATAATAATTTATCTTCAGAAAAATAAAAACCCACAACTATGAATATTCACAAGAAGAAATAAACTTACCCAAAATGCTCAACCTATTTGAAGAGGCGAGAGAAGAGAGAGGAAAGGAGGTGAGAAATAGATAAATGCAAACACATAGTGTAATTATAATAATCCCAACAATATTTGTGGCTCAGCATTCTCCTGTATTTCATTGCACCAGTATGTGATTCAAGGTGTCCACCTTTAAGCAAAATAATTATTCAACCACCTACCCTTACCCTAGTAATATTCATAGTTTCTTTCTCCTTCAGGCCTTTTCAGGGTTAACTAAAAAAATTTAAATCCTGGCGTTAGCCTTTATAACATGGTCTAAAACTACAAGATGGTAAGTAGATGTAATAGTGAGCTTTGATCTGCATCATAATCCTTGAAAAACCAGACAATCTCAGTCTCAATTACTTATTTATAAAGTGGGAATAATTAGTAATCGTGGATAAAGGAAATGATGTCACGTTAAGAGTGCTGAGGGATAAGGAAGGCCATCAATCTGGAACTAAAAATACCATAACGTTAATTAAGGCTTAGATTCAGAAA